CTTTGCTTTGTCCCTTTTGAAGTGGGGCAGCTAAAGCACAGTATTCAAAGTGAAGATTAGCAGTGTGATGAATCTTTGATTTCTATTCACTGGAAACATGAATCTCTCTTTTCTACATTTATATTCTGCCAGTGTTCCAAAATGAATATAAATAATGCAAAATTTGCAATAATGTGATTTCTTCATTCAATTTACTCAAATTTCTGCCCCAATTATAGATCCACATTTTTGAAATTATAAATTATTGCACCAGTGTGCTTGATACAAATCCTTACACAGAAATAGCTGTAGTCCTAGAGGAGCAAAGGGCAGTCCAAGTAGCACACTACTGCTGCCTGGCAGCAACTGGTACACAATATTTACAACGTGTAAGAAAAACCATGCTAAAGAACTGCAGACATCATCCCTCCAACAAGCAAAGATTTTTAACTCTGATCAGTCACTTACATCTCCCATTCAGTTGCTCATGCATTAGTGATAAATCTACTTTTATTTTAACTGCACCTGAGGAGTTTCCTTCATTAATCCCACATAGCAGTTCCACTAAAGAGTCAAAAGCAGCCATCATCCCATGCAAACAAGCAGGTAACTTAATGCATTGAAACACACGCACAAAGAAATGGAAAGGCAACAAGAGAAGACATCACAAGTCACTCAGCTCCTCCTGACAGATGCAGCAGTCCTTTATCAGCAACGCAGAATAAGCAATGAGGTGACCTCCCCAGTCTGCACCCACCAAGCAGAACTTTCCATCCTACCAAGCTCCTAGCAAGATGTTGGCAGGGGTTAGTCATTCTTTCCTTTTCCCACTGAAGGTCTGGAGAACATCATACCCAGTACAACAAACCCGGGGGGAAGACAGAATTTCTATGGCCTCATGGCCTGTCACACATGGAAGGCCAGAGACATTGCTTCATCCCTAGATACTGCTGGGGAAGTCAATTCCTCATCACAACCACCATCTCGTCCTTCCTATCCCACTCATGGTAGAGGACCATCTCAAGGCCTCTCCCTGCCCCATGTTGTCCCAGCTGTGTCTGTTCTCCCTAACACAGGAATGTCTTGGCCTGAAACCATCTTCAGGACAGCAAAATTCAATTGCCCTGGCCACTGCACTGAGAGCCCAGGAGTTCCTCCCAAACACCTCCCGTGACACCATCCAGATGATGTGGATGCACGAGAGGTTGCATGATGTTTTATTCAGTGGAGTCAGGGTCGTTGGAGGAGGGGTGTTCAGCTAATTGGGGCGATTAGAGCAGAGACCACAGTGCTAGAGCTGCTCAGCAACCAGCTGGACATTTGACAGCTGTCAGACTTCATTTACCTGCTGACAGTATTTAATCTGCAAGACAAGAGATCCAAGTAGGGTGCTTGTCAAAGATTATAAGAAGCATGACACCTAGAAGGACCATCTGGGACTGGGAGAGGAACAGCAGGGCTTTCACTTCCCTCTAAATTTCCAACACATATTAGGAAACTGGACAAGGCAAATTCCTAGAGGCAGCCTTACCAGGCTCAAGCTGGAGGTAGCATTTTGGATGAATCATACGGAAAAGGCAGACTTTACAGGATACCACGTTGGTAGGAAGGTTAAAGACTACCCAAGCAAAGGGCAGAGGAGACACAGTTGTGGCATTAAATAGTGCTCTGTGGTCAGAGGAAAGACATTCATTCATTCATTCCTGGGGCAGCACGTGGATGAATATGGGCAAGAGGGAAGGCATTTTATCAATCATGTCAACACCTAGTGGCATTTTTATCTCTGGTGTAGGCAGGACGTTGTCAATAAAGGTTCCTACACTACATGTGGGGAAAACCTAATTCCAACACACGACTAACTTTAAAGCACTTCCCTCTCCTCCATTTTACATTATTGTCACATGGCCTTGTCGACATTACAGTCCAGGAGCTTGGCAAGTTTTCAGAGCAGCTACACCAAAATCATTTCCAGGTCACAGGACTGTGAACAGGCAGCTGAAAGCAATAAACAGGTTCTTAATGTTTGGGGTTTATTTTACTTCTTAAGCTCTCTCATTGAAATAAAAACTGTCTGGATTGATTTGCAGAGCCATGAGAAGTACATGCTTTGTCTATTGCCAGTTTTCAGACCAGAGGGAGTTTTGACAGGAGCTATATACCTCAGAAATAGGCTTGATCATAGAAGTTCTAACGTTTCCATAACTATAGCAACACAAAAGGCCCAGCTAAATATTCCTGTTAATGAGACACACTTCAAGCAAGCAATTGCTATACTTGTTATAATAAAGTACTTGGGAGATCTGAGGATTTCATTTCTGCTTCTCCACAAGCCAGCCAAAATTGTAAGGGTTTGGGTTTGTTTGTTGTTTTTTTGTTTGTTTTTTTGGTTTTTTTCCTAAGGAATGCTGCATTGTACTAGTAAAAAGTTGAAGTTCTCTTTTTTCCCTTTTTAAATTTTAATAAAACATACATATGCTTCTTGATTCTTCAGGCTTGGTACGCCAAGACACCGCTCAGTAAAGCACGGATCAGAACACTGGGAGACAGTGAGAAAGCAGAAAAAGGAAAAACAAAAGGAGGAATTAAAAGAAAAAAGAAAAACTAACTTCCTCAAAAATTTTCATCTGGCAGTATCAGTCACAGCTCTACTTCACTGAAAAGAAGACAACATTAGGAAAGCAGACATATCAGAACACTGCACACCAAGTTATAGCTGTTCCAGGAAAGATAATTCCTTTCTGAATTAATATTTAAAAGTTAAAAAAAAATCAGATGAGACATCAATGTGACACGCAGCTCTCAGAGGATAAAGAGTTAATGACCACTGACTTGCTCAAGCATTATTTATTCTATGAAGTTTTAGGGGCAGAGAGGTTCATTACTCAGGACTGTAACATGCCATCAACTTTTAGGCTATACTCATTTATTTCAGCAAGTAACTCTCCTTAAAAATTGATGTCACATTAATGTCTTTCATTACTTTAATATCCTATATGCTTTATAAAACTAACTGCTTTATATATCTGTAAGTCTAATGTGTTACAGTTCTCAATAAAACTATTACAGCTATAAAGACTGCTTTTTAATTGGGATGGATTATAAGACACTTAATGCAATCTACCACAAGCTGAATATTTACGTAGCCACATGAGGACCGGCACCGTTTCACCTTTCGATGTCTCATCACAGACAAACTCACACGTGGATGTTCACAGAAAACATTAATAAGCAGAACAAAAGCAAAAGCAAAGCAGCCAGGTGGTGTTCAGTTTGGTGGATGTCCCGAGAATCTATTTGCAATAGAAAACAATGCCCAATTACCTTGTCTGCACAAACAGCAATATACCTGTTGCTTAAAAAAACCATATGTTGTCATTACAGCTGCTGTTCTGCTATCTGGAATAGGCCTGTTGAGCTTCCTAAAAGGTTGTTTCATGCTGTGTTAAACCCAATCCACCTAGACCTGCTTCAACAACTTCCAAATCCAGTCCTGCAAGCTCTGTTTAAGCAGCTCACTCGTGACAGCCTGCCCCATCCCATTCAGAACCCACACGTACCGCCGTGTACAGATGTAGCCTGTGGGATCACAGTGGCTGTTTATGTGCTCGAGCAGCAAAACCTGAAGCTTGCGGCAGGAATGTCTTCTAGGCAGAAGGACCTGAGACACTTGGAGGCAGAAATTTCCTGACCTTGTGCTGTGATGTAGTACCTCCCACCCAACAGAGTGCATTAGGCCTGACATCCAAATATCACAAATAGCAAGTGCATGGAGCTAAACCTGCTCAGAACCACAATGCACCAAGGACCCCATGACAGCATTTGACAGTGTTTCAGTTGATAGGCCATCAGTCTTGTTCGCTCACAAATCAGCAGTTCTGGGTGCAAGGTATTTATAAACAGTGGTTAGAACACGCTAAAGCTTTGGGACATTCTACATGACACTGATGGAGCCAGCACCACTTTTATACCAAGTACAGGATCTCATTCACAGGGGTCTTCTACAAATGAGAGCCACAAATACTTACTTTCACCTCTAACCACAGCATACCTACATTGACTTGACAGCAGGTAACTCACAATACCAGTTGAGCTGCCAACACAAGGCACACCATCCCCAGGGAGTCAAAGGATCTCCCTGCACCTTTCTTACAGACAGGCTGGCACGTACCAGGAGGGCTGCATTGCTGTAGAAACCGCTTGGGTTTCCTCCAGCAGAAGCCAGGCCAACCCGCCTTTGGGGGAGGGCAGGCTGAGGACAGCACTGTCACCAACTCTCTGCCAGTTACATTGCATCCCAAGTATGGCACTGCTCACAGCTCATTAAGATCTTATTGGTATGTCTTCTGTGTAAAAGGGACTGATCGCATTTTAAACATTTCTGCATCTTTGTACTACCCCAACCCCTTACACCTCCAGCTTCCCCTCCTAGAACAGGGTCATCTTGTCAAAAATACCATGGCAAGTGACCAGTAGAAACTGTGCTTTTACCCAAATGGTCAATACACACCACATTTTAAGACTGAAACTCTGCAGAAAGACAAAAGCCCACCTGAATACTTACTTCAGAATCTGCTCTAACAAAGCTTGCTGGGAAGGGGATGGTATTGACTTTCTCCTGGCTCCTAAGAAGAAACTCATAGAAAAAACATGCTCCTGGAAATAGATGCTCCTAGAAATTGCATAGTCTGAACAAAAGCCTGGAAAAGTTCCTACAGGCAACTAAGAGCACAGAAAACAACTCCAGTAATCATCTCATTGAGCACAGCAGAGGGAACTGGATGGCTATGGTTAATAAAGTGAATTTGCTCCCTGAGGAAAGAATAGGCTGCCATGCTATCACAGCACAAGCTCAGGCTTTTTGTGGCCCTCTTTGGCCATATTTTGCTGTCCAGTATGGGGCTCCTCTAGGTTTCAGCCTTCCAACCCTGAGGCTGCATCTCCAGCCCCGCCAAGGGAATCCACATGACAGAAGAGGAGACACTTGCTAGATGTCCTCTGTGCAAAACCCCAGGACAGTTGTGGCCTATACAAGTCCTTCCCCCAGCAGTAATGTGGTTGCTGGAGCCTCATCGTGACCTACACAAGGGACCCCATGAGCCTGATCTGCCAGGCCCTGGATTTAATCGCTTCCAGCAGAGCAGCCACAAACTTTGGCTTTCCTTTCTTTACTCCTTCTTTACAGAGGCTTACTCATAGCAGGCTGCTGGCTTCACAATCTGGCAGCACACCCAAATTAAAAAAGGTACTCTTCAACTTTATCCTCAGTGAGAAGAGCCAGAGTCTCCCGAGAAGTGGCAGAACTTGTGTTAAAAACCTTTTTGCTGTTCTCATCTGCAAGAAGACTAATTTGAATAATTCCATCCTCAATCTTGCCAACAGCAGACTACTCCTCTCCACAACAGGTTTGACAGCAGAACGTGATGTGATGAAAAGACCGCATTGAGGTTGGATGTAAGCAAGCCCATTAACTAATATTTCAGCAGGTTCAGTGCAATCTCAATAGCAAAGTAACGCGTTGACTGGCAACATCCATCTCCAGGGCACGACTCCGACCCCATGCAGAAAGGATGCCTGAACCTCTCACCATCCCAGGTGCGCTTGGCAGGGCAGAGCCTGTGGATTTTCCTGCAGTACTCACCAGCTTATGGAAAAAAAAGCAGCACACTGAGGCAATTTAGCCTTCAGGTGTAGCTTGCAAAAGTGGCTGCTTTCAGTGTAGACAACATTTTTTTTTGTTTGTTTGTCCCCAGGGGGGTCTGGAAGCCACAGCAGGTGTATCTACAAACAACTCCATGGGCACGGGGTGGGGGGTGACAAAGATGCCCTAAAGCAGACAAACTCTGCCCTGCATAGCTGCCAAGCCCTCGCTCTCCTTTTGAGAGTCCTCAGGGGCAGGTGGGGAGGGAAGAACCAGGAACAATCTTAATGCTACTTATAATTATTATTACAGAAAGTGCAGCTACTTGAAAATGAAGCTGTTGCATCAAGCAGAGCCAACACACAGTAATTTTGATGTCAATGGTTGAACAATTCAATGAAGTGGCCCTGGCTGGATCTCCAACGCCTGCCCCGCTGCTGTGAGGCTAAATAGTGCTCTCAGAAAGAACACGACTAGGGATGCTCTGCCAGGCCTGGGTAGAGCGTCTCTACTTGGAGATCTTTCACCACGAAAAAAAGATAAAATTGTGGCTTTGCTAAACCCAGCCACAGCACAATTGCACTCTGCTTTTCCAGCCACAGCAACCCCGAAATCTGACGGGGGGGGAATCCCCTTTGCTACACCCTGGTTCCTACTTAGTTTCCAGCAAGAGGTGAGTTTCAAGGGGTGGTGGAGAGGGGTGCCAGGTGTGACACTCCTGGTGTGGTGGTGGGAGGTAATCCAGCAGCACCAGCAAAGTTGAGAGAAGAAGTTGTCATGCTCATTTATATATGTAAGTGATCTAAAGAATTATCAGCTAAATTATTTAAATGTCCCATTACTATTAAATTACTGGGCATTCATTGTAAGAACAGTCATAATACAGTAACTAATTTGGTATTAATGTGAATGTCAGCGTTTCATTGCAGTTATTTTGTACTTCATCATAAGATAATTTACCAATAAATTAATTGCCTTAATTGCTTCCTCCAAACCCAGGAGAACTACATATGACGTGACTTTTAAAAAGTGTTCAGGCTCACTCCCCATCTTTCTGCTTTAACCACACCAAGCAGGAACTCCCCTTTGAAACACTTGGGGAAGAACAGCCAAAAATAGAGGGAGCAACCTGCGACTTCACTTTCCCAGAGGCAATAAAGTCTTGGCATAACCCTGTCCTGTGGAGTTTAATGTGCTTTAAATATAGCCCCTGAGGCTATGCTTGGAGTAGCAGCCCAGGCTTCTGTGCCAGCTTGGCAGGGTCATGGGTGGTGGACAAGGAGCACAGTCGCAGCACTCAGCCTCCCTCTAAGGCAGGGGAAGCACCTGGGAGCAATTCATGCCCACCTCCCTGTTGTACAAATCCCCCCTCCATCACCTTTGCCTCCCTAGAATACCAATAACCCCCAACCCCCATCACCTGGGCATCAGCCAAACCAGCCAGAGCAGAGACTCAGGCTGCAGCGGACAGACCCGCTCCAGCCAGAAATAAGTCACTACCAGTTTGCCACAAGGCAAAAAAAAGTGCCAATCAGGATTTCAGGTGTGTGGCAGATACCATGCCTCAGAAGTGATGTCCACCATTTGATTTAAGCCCTATCAATACGCCTGAGAAATGCAAGCAGGCTCCCATAGTGCTTTGGAATAGGACGAGCAAGAAACCAAAACCAAGTGGAGCCTTAAGCCACGAGGCATCAGCTCTACCCGCTGCCCTGTAGCACCCACCAACCACCCATGGGACCCCCCCGGGTCTCTTTGTAGACCCCAGGCTCCATCCCTGTTGGTACCCGTGTAGGAGACACCGCTCCCTCCCGGCAGCAAGTCCTCAGGGACGCAGCCGGCTGAGGGCAGCCCCGGTCCCGCTCAGCCAGGAGGGAGGGAAAAGG